CTACCCCAAATGTCTGCTACAGCTGTACCTGACAGGAGGAATTTTATGCCTTTTCATAGCCCTTGACGCCATCGTCTCATGCAAAAGTAGTCAAGGACGCATCTATAGCTGATGCAGACCATGCAATTGCCATGGGGCCCATCAGCACAAAGTAAATTATGTAGGTAGCAGTAGAATTTGGCAAAAACATTAAGGGCTCATTCAGACAGGGCACCTGGACTGCCACGAATGTGCAGGTTCAGGTGTGTGTGTGATTGCGTGTAATTGCATGCAGCTGCATCCTCCAATAGGCAAGAACAGGCTGCTGTGTGTGATTACATGCAGCACCTGCCCCTTCTGAAATAGCCATTTTTTTACGGGTGTACATGCCGTATGGACTTGCAAGCCTGTCTGGATGAGCCCTTAAGGCTATGCACCAGAAAAAAAGCTGAATACAAAATAAAATACAGATATTGGAACTGTTTTAACTACAAAAGGATTTGTATTTCTATCCATCCACTCCTTACATTTACACAGCTCGGTTACACAGCACAGCCCTATCTGCTAGGGCATGGGACCTGATTTTCCTTTACTGTCTCTACTCTGCTCCTCTCTTGTCCCTCCTCTAGCCTCTGAATGGACAGTGAAAGGAGAAGCAGTAGACTGATAAGTTCAGCTCTCTATTACTCTGTTCTCTTCTCCTATTTGCATGCTCCCTTTTAGCACAAGAGCACTGCAACAAAACTAATTAGTTTCTTGGGCTGCTTCTTCCTCTCCAAATCTGAGCTGCGCTGTATAGGGGACTGCAAGAGTCTGCTACCAAGTCAAATTCAGAGACTTAAAGTTTGCAATGAATAAAAATACATTTAAGGATGTGTTAATGAACACAGAGCTGCCTTAATCTATGCTCATCTTTAAATAAAACAGTGTCTTTCCTACAAGAAGGAACCGGGTTCTTTTGATGGGAGGACGCCAAAAGCAGCATGGTGGAGCGCCCAGCAAAACAGCCGCGGGCAGAGCACTGTATATGCATATGATTATTTATTAATATTGATTTATATGAGTTTGGAAACCTCAATATGACTGTTACATGAGCAATTAGTAGTCTGTATCACTACATGTCTGGGGGGTGAAGCTTTTTTTTTTTTTTTATTATAAATTCTTTTTATTAAAGTTTTGTATAAGAACACATTTTTACAACATTCGCTCTCACAGCCATGAAAGCACACATATAGTGCAACAATCCTGTCCATTACAATTATCCCCAACTATGGGCAATACCTTACCAAAAAATCATAAACATAACCCCCCCCTCCCCCCCAGAAGGCGTGTGTCTCCCCACCCCCTCCCCCCAGAGTGCCAGTATAATACCCAGCATTACATATTGTACAGAGTAACAACAGTGAACATATTCAAAAATGATTTATACAGAGTATCCCAATCCATCCGTCACATACATCAACCCTAATGCCTTCCCAGGCGAGAGTGCAGCCCGTTCAACCCGCTGTGTCTGCAGATTCTACCCAGCGTCCCCACACTTTTGTGAACTTATTTGGGCATCCTCTGCTCTGATATGTAGCCTTATAAAGACTTAGGTAGGAGTTTACTAGGCCCTTCCAGTCAGAGATAGTGGGTGGTGCATTCTGTCTCCACCTCAGTATGATTACCTTCCTGGCGCAGTACAACAAAACCCCCAGGAAGGTCTGCCCTGCGGTTGTGGGAGCTAGGTGTTCAGTTAGCCCCAAAATACACGTTTTCACATCAGGAATGAAGGGCACTTCAACAAATTGTGACATAAAATTTGTAACTGCAAGCCAGAATGGTCTGATTCGTGGACAGGCCCACAAAATGTGGATAAGATCTGCCGTCGAATCAGAGCATCTCCAACACGCAAAGCTGCTGCCCCCATAGATGCGGGCCAGTCTTGCCGGTGTGTAGTACACCCGATGTAGAATTTTAAATTGTATGAGCCTGTCTCGGGCAGACACTAGGTGGCTAAAAGGATAGTCCCATACATCCTCCCAATCCTCATCCGTGAGCACCGGAGCGTCCACCAACCAGGAACCCTTGCAGTGTAATGTATGTACCAATGATGTCTGGAAGAGATGCCTATAAACCTCCGACAGTGGTTTAGTGAGGGCCTCCCTTCTCAACAAAATCTCCAATCTGGACATCTGGATTGTGCATGTCAACCCACCAAATTGGCCCCGAAACGCATGACGCAGCTGTAGGTAGCGGAACAGATATGCATTAGGGACACGATATTTCTCCTGCATTTGATCAAAGGTGAGAAGCGAATTATTTAGGGTCAAGTCCCCTAATGTTTTAATTCCTTTTCCAGGCCAGACCTGAAAATCGGGCATGTTTAGGAAATGAGACAGGAGCGGGTTTTTCCATAAAGGAGTGTGTGGGGACCACCCCTGATGTGTCAGACCCAACTGCCTACGAATGGAGGTCCATGCCATAATTGTAGCTCTCATAGACGCCGTGAGCTCATATGGGGCCCTGAGACCCCTCAATGGTAGCCCACCAAGGGCCGCATAGGATCCCAGCGAGGCTGCCTCCACCACCACCGCTGCGTCCCCAGAATCGCTTGTGAGCCACTTATGCAGGACCACCATTTGACCAGCTAGATAGTATTTCTTAAAATCTGGGACCGCCAATCCACCTCTACAGCATGGCTCCTGTAAGATGGATAATTTAATCCTGGGAACTTTTGAGTTCCACAGGAAAGAGCTAAGGAGGGTGTTGATTTTCCGGAAAAAGGGTTGTGGTACCCAGACCGGCGAGTTCCTGAGATAGTACAGGAAAACGGGCAATATTTTCATTTTGATCAGGTTAACCCTGCCCACCAGGGAGAGGGGAAGATGTCTCCAAGATTCCAACCGTAACTTAAGTTGGGAAAGCAGTGGGAGAAGATTCAGGGAGAAGTAATCCTTGACCGATTTTGTTAGCCGAACACCCAGATAAGTGATGGTGTCCACCCACTGCAAAGGAAGAGAGTCATCTGCTCGTGATCGGGTCAGTGGGTCTAGGGGAAGCACATGGGACTTAGACCAATTAACCCTTAGCCATGAAAATCTGGCAAAGGTGTCCAAGATCATCAATGCGGCCCTAAGTGATGGGCCCGCATCCGCCAGGAAAAGAATAAGGTCATCTGCATAGAGTGCCAGTCTTTCCTCTATACCCCCTATTTTAAGGCCACAGATCTCCCGTGAGGAGGGAGAGCAATTTGCCATTAGGGAATGAGGCTATAGCCAACTGTACCTCCTGCAGGGTAATAGGTCTTTCCAGGAGTGTTCGGTCTGCATCAGCTAACCGCGTGATAGTAAGCCCACCCAACAGGTCCTGCAAGTTCAGCCCCAGTCGGGCAACGTAGCCTCCATCCAGTATGAGTGGAGAAAAAAAAAAAAAAAAGAAGGAAAAGGCATAACCGGAGCCAAAGTCCCGCACCGGGCATCCACCGGAGATCGGGTAGGTAAGTCAGGAGCAGGTTCGCCAGGATTTACTCAGGATACAGCTCAGTATAGCGGCGGAGCTCCCTCAGACACGTCCTCTCTGCCTCACATCCCGGCCACGCCCCCCTGCGGGGTGAAGATTTAAGAGACAGAGGAGCCCCTTAATGGATTTGCTGTGGGACCCCACCACACATAGTTACTGCCCTGCAGTTAAAGGTGCAATAACCATTTCCGGACAAGCTGCTTATCAGTCAATATATGAGCCTATTGATCTTCCATTAACCTGTCACATCTTATTTCACAAACGTGATCTCAGATATGATTTTTAGTACATACAATGCTTTCTTTTAGCAGTATCGTCTTCTGAGAACAATCGCATAACTATTAGGCACCAACAGTTTTGCCATACAGAGGATACATTTTTGTTCTGAGATGTCCCAATTATAACAACATTACAAATATGTTCCCAGCACAAGACACGGTGGAGTTGTTTATATAAACAATCAAGGTTTTGCTTTTTTATTTTCTAGCCCTTATTCCCCCTGGCATTGGAAAACCTGTGATTATTGTTTATATCAGAGGGAGGCAAACTCTGTATCTCCAGCTGTTGTGGAACTACAAATCCCATGAGACATTGTTAGATTCTCACAGCCACAGGCATGACTCCCAGCGACAGATGCATCATGGGATTTGTAGTTTCACCCCTGCTTTATGGCTATGTTCACACCATGTCCAGGCCAGATCTGGAGCAGATCTGCAAATGCAATGCAGTGCATTTTTGATGTGTTTTTTTTCTAGCTTAAAATGGGCTTGTGCTGTGCAGTCCAGATGCGTTTCCATGAGTTCCAGTGCGTTCCGGACCAAACAAAATGAGACAAGCAGTATTTTTTTATGTCTGGTCTGGAACGGACTGCGCTGGTGTGATCAGAGCCCAGAAACACCATACATTGGGATGCTTTTTTGGTCCAGGAACAAACTGTTCTGTTCAGGATGTGATCCGGACATGGTGTGAACAAGCCATAAATTATATTTCTAAAAGATAATAATTATTTTTAAGGCCTCATTCACACTGCTAAGAGCCGGCCCGTACAGATCCGTGCGGCGTGTTATAATATTATATAAAACATATATGCATTTCTTTTATATTTGCATTTACGCCTGGAGAGCAATGCAATTGTGATCACTCAATCACGGCTGCAAAGCTCAGGCTTCTGCACATTCTCTCCCAGGCAGAGCTCATATGGAGTTTCAGTTAGGAGAGATGGGGAAGGACGGCTGGACTTCAAACTGCATTAAATCACCTCATATGGCGTCCGTCCTCGCTCTAGGTAGAGCTTCCCATATTCCCGCATCTACCTAGAGCGAGGACGGCTGGACACTATATGAGGTTTAAATGGAAATATTAAAGAAATATATATTTTTTATATATATATATTATTAATTACTGTTATGCTTTTCTTTAATTTTTGCAAAAGGTAAACTTTATAAATGTAGTGATAGCCATAGGAATAGTGTTGATCCAGCATGTGATATAATAAAAATAATAAGCTCTGTCGGGCATACCTGTGTTGTATCCTCTACCAAGAGCTGGCCATGGCCGATGGTTCTTCCACAGATTTCCCAAGTACCAGTCACTCTGATTCTCCACCAGGCCCAGAACCTGTTGTCCTGAAAATAAACAATAGGAGGCGTTACTGAGTCATCTCTATGGACCAATAGATGTATAAAAGCTATCTGTCTGCTCTGATATAAATCAATGAGCTATCTGTCTGCTCCAGTTTAGGAGAAATCCTTGGCCTTCAGATATGAGGTCAGCACTGAAGGTCACCCACAGCATGACTACATGAGACATCCTTTTACTTTTTATTGACTGTTGATATATACTTATGCTAACATGTTAAGATAACAAATATTTATTACCAGTGAGATCTTAATACTGTGCCAACAATGCCTTCATCTGCTTTCATCTCCAAAAAGAATGGCACCATCTTTGTTCACGCATCATCCAGGGACACTAGGGCTAGTTTCAGGACTGAGATGCTGACACAGTCATGTAAATCCTGATGCATGTACAGTACTTGGCTGTGGTCACAAATCTCAGACATAGATCAGCCCTCTCACTTTGTGACTTGCTGCAAAGTTACAATGTTGCAGTCTGATTACTGGGGGAGAGGAGACTGAGGAAATGCTTCCTTCTGCCTGCAGCAGAGTGATGACATCATCTCAGCCTAAGCAGAAAACGCTGGATTTGAAACTTGGGGATGACTTTTGAATGATAAATGGTAAAGAATGACATTTTTTTTAATGTGCTGCATATTGTAACTTATCAGAAATGTATTCATGCGGGCTTGTAAAGTTACTGAATGGTCCACATTAAAGGGTATCTATGGTCAAAAACTAAACATACTGTATGTATTTCTATATTGAATTCTTATTTCCATATAACTGAAGTTCTATCTCACTCCTTATCACCATATTGATCTAGAAGCTTGTAAACCCACTTATGGAAGATGCCCATAGGATGGACTTCCTCAATGCACTGACAGAATATCACTCAGTCCTGTGGATAAGCACTTCCTTGTGTCACAACCCTAACTAAGCCTAATGTTGGAACTACAACTCAATGTCTGATCAATGTAACATTAGCATTGCTTGTTGGAAGCAATGCATTATGGGATATGTTATCTTGAGAAATCAAGATTGCATCACATCAAGTAGCAAGGAGAGAGACACAAAGCACACTGGGAATCCAAGGAGTTGTTGAAAGTGATGAGCAGACTGAAGGCAGTACGTAAAAGGATAGTTTTCCAGTAAGCTTTGATGGCATTATCCAATACTATACAATAATATGTATTCCTACTACAACGCTAATGCAGGATAACAGGATAGTTTATGACTGGACTTTAGAGTGCCTTTAAAACACAGCATGGTCTCATAATAGACATGTAATCAGGATGAGGTGTCTGTAAAGTGCATCCACAATACACATCACGATGATTCATTTTTGGTCACTTTGGTGACATCTAATATCCACGTCTTTTGCCACAACCCCTCCATCAGGCACTATGCCTGACACAGGCTCCCTTTATGTAGATGGAGAATGGCCAGCTAATCCCTTTATGAGCTCCTTGTCACACTCAGCCCAGTAAACAAGTTTATTTTGTTTAAACACTGTCTGCGTTCCATCTGTCCGAGGCCATTACATTAACAAGGAGCGATGGTACCCAGCATGCTCTGCAAAGTGCTCAGTGGCATCAATTCCCAGCATTGTTGGGCCGACTTATTCTCATCTCCGTTACCTGTCGTCCTTAATGCTGTCCTGTTTGTCTGACTTTGTCTGCAACCTTCTCTGATTCTTCCCGCTGTCTCTTACTGATTACAGCTTTGTTCTAATCTGCCTTGGCAACCTTTCCTTTAGATTTCATGCCTTGTTTTTTCTCAGTGGGTACTCTTGTAGGCTCCCACACACTCACACTATTATTCTGCCTTGATTTCGGTCGTCCGTTGTTAGTTATACTTACATGTGCCAACGGACTTGTGTCCACTGGGAGTATTTATGACAGGTCAGAAAAGAGCGTTGCCTTCTTTTTCATTGGTGATGTCAGCTGTGACAAATCTGCCTATTATAAAAGTGTTCTGTATAATTCACCCTTTCACTCACTAAGAGTGACCAAAATGAATTATTTTCAATCATTTGGGAACATTTTTTTAGATTTTTGCAAAATGTCGCCATTTGGTTGTAATGCAATGGTGTCAATGGGGAAGGCGAAATTAGGATGGTGTTTATTAGGTTTATTTATTATATAGAGGAACTAAACTCTGGATGCTTTGCACAAGCAAGCAGAGGCCATAAGACTAGTCATCAATATTGCTTGAAGTCATCCTTGCTGATCTTTTTACCATTACTGACTCACCATGACTTTGTCTGTCCCTGTGTGAAGGTAACTATCTTGGTAGAGGCAGGGCTTTGCTTCCTCATGTCAGAACCAGTGAGCAGCACAGTAGTGAGATCACCAAAGCTCATGAGAGTAGCAGTCAGAGGCAGCAGTGCCTTAGATCTCACAGCTAGGAGCTAGGCCTAGGCACCCTCACACACCACGAAGTTCAATGCTATTTGTCAAGAGAAATTACAGACATTTTTTTGAGGCACAATTAACAATTCTAGATGTTATCTATAACAGCATTTCTCAACCTTTTTTTCAGGTGTCATAGATTTTAAGGGGACCCCACGCAAAACCTTTCCCCCTTCACATCGAAGTGCACCTTCAAATCAAGACCCCCCCTTCACATCAGAGCCATCCTTTGCATTAGTAGTATCCCTTCACATCAGAAGCCCTGCATTTATATAAGAGTCCCCTTTTCATATCAGAGTTCTACCCATTACATCAGAAGCCCCCTTCACATCACAGTCCCACTACCACAACATTTTGAGGCACCCCTGAGGAAGCCAGAAGGCACACCAGGGTGCCGCAGCACCCTGGTTGAGAAAGGCTGCTCTATTACATAGTAAATCTTCACTTTTTGTGTTAAAGGAGAACTATGGGGGTCAGGGCTTTTCCCCATAGTTCTCCTAAGGGTAACGGGAGGACACAAACTAGCATCCTCCCGTCACCCAAAGCTCAGTATATCGCGAGCTACAGCTCGCGGTATACTGAGACGCCGCAGCCGTAACGGATCCCGACATTACTGTCTGAATCCACCCAGCTGCGTGAGTGACAGCTGGCTCTGCCTATCTAGAGGCAGAGCCAGCTGTACCCGCCCCCTCCCCCGTCCGTTCCGCCAGTCAGCGTTGGAGGATCGGACAGGGGAGTGGGGGAATCCCTGCAGGGAGCCGTGAATGACGGGCTCTCTGCAGGGACAGGATCAAGAAGTGAGCGAGCGACAGTATGTGTTCGCTCACTTCCCGATCTATTGAGCCGACCTGTGACAGTTTCATTGTACTTCATTGTCTACTGTAAGGGTGTAAAGGGTTTTAAATAGCTACAGAAGCTCCTTTCCACACTCCTGAACGGGATCACATCAGCCTCAGTATTTTATTTCATTGTTTTTCACGCAGTTTACCTTGTTTTTTTTTGCATATGATTTATTGATGGTCCGTGTACCTGGAGGCAAGACCCATTGCCCACATATTTTGTTACAGAGGGTATCCTTCCTTTCCCGATTCAGAAAGCCAGAAGTTAAGAGTAAGCCTTTGAGTTACACTGGCCACAGAGGATGCCATCAAGATATATGATGGAAACCTTTGCAGCCTGCCTGGCAAACTACGCCCGCCCATTGCCCATACGGTTCCAGAATGTCATTCTGCATCATGCGAAGTGTCAGAAATGCCCCACAGACAAACCCTTTAATATGCACTTTTCAGAGTAGTGCTCAGAGACTCTCTATTGAGAGGCCCTGATCAATAGAG